CGTATTTACCCAACCCGAGAAGTCCCGCGGCTGGAGAGAGGAAGGTAGACTCATTCATGCAGGCAAGGGGAAGGAACCAGCCCCAGGCTACATTTTTACTGTTTTTATGAAACAGGAGACAGAAAAATAAATATTTATAACATACTTTGAAAATATAAAGAGTAACAACACAGCCAACAATTGTGAAATTAACAAGCATGCTGGACCTGTGAGGGCATCGAGACCTCTTTGAGTTCCTCCAAGTCTCTCCCTCGCCATTTCTTTTCCTTCCCCCTCAGACAGCGCCAACAACTTGAATTTTGTGCTTCTTAGTTCCTTGCTGTGCTTTACAGTTTACCCACATACGTGTTTGGCCCTGAACAACATGTTTAATATATTTATTTGATGGGCGGCGCCTGTGGCTCAGTGGGTCGGGGGCCGACCTCATACACCGAGGGTTCAAACCCAGCCCCGGCCAAACTGCAACAAAAAAATAGCCGGGCGTTGTGGCGGGCACCTGTAGTCCCAGCTACTCGGGAGGCTGAGGCAGGAAAATCGCCTAAGCCCAGGAGTTGGAGGTTGCTGTGAGCTGTGATGCTACGGCACTCTACCGAGGGCGATAGGCAATAAGGTTGAGACTCTGTCTCTTAAAAAAATAAAAAAGTAGTGATTTAAGCATGAAATTGACAAACATGAAGTAGTAACTGAGGCATGTCATTTTTTTTTTTTTTTTTGACACCACAGCACTCTGGCACTCCACTGAGGGCAACAAAGTGAGACTCTGTCTCTACAAAATATACATATCTACTTATTTATTTATTTGACATTTTTCTTTTTCTACCCTTTGAATTCTAAATATTCTAAGAATTCTAAAGTCTTTTGTCTTCGTGGGTTTCGTTCCATTCTCTGGCATTTCAGCTGACGCTCCTTTATCAGGCCTTGCTTCTCTTTCTTGTTTTTTACATTTATCAGTTTGCCATAAAAGATGCGAATCAGAAACAGCCAAATGGAAGAAATGTACAGAGGCAAGGGAAGATGACAGGGAAAGATGGGGTGAGCAGGTGACCCTGGTAAATAGACGTGCTGAGAGAACTCCTCCATCCTCCGTGGCTGCCACAATTGGAGTAGCTCCGAAGGCGCTTCCTTGCTTCCTTTCTGTTTTGTGTTTTTTAACTGTGAGCTCAGGTGCATTAGAACTTTATCTGTGGGACTTCTTTGATACCTAAAATAGGTAGATAACGAAAAGGTAGATTCTTCTGGGAAAACCATTTCTGCCAGGCTTTTGAAGACACAACGGAACCAGGACTTCTTTATTTTATTTTTATTTGTTTATTTATTTATTCTTTTTTTTGAGACAGTCACTTTGTGGGCCTGGGTAGAGCGCTGTGGCATTGTAGCTCACAGCAACCTCAAAATCTTGGGCTTAAGCAATTCTCTTGTCTCAGTCTCCCAAGTAGCTGGGACCACAGGCACCTGCCACAATGCCCAGGTTTTTTTTTTAGAGATGAGGTCTCACTCTGGCTGGTCTCGAACTCCTGCGGTCAGGGCAATCCACCTGCCTTGGCCTCCCAGAGTGCTAGGATTACAGGGGTGAGCCACCACGCCCAACCACCCAGGACTTCTTTAAACCGAATTTGCAACTTGAGGTTTCCCAGATCACATGTTTATTGTGCTCTGAAGCTCAAAACCCACCAGCGAGACAAATAAGAGGTACAGCAATAACACCCCACCTCCCAGATACTGAGTCTCCCCCTTTATGCCCTGTGGGATCCAGCCAGCTAGGACACCCTGATCCCCAGCCAAAGAGTTTCTGGGCCATATGCCTGGGGCCTTGAACTCCACTTTGCACTTTGCTCTTCCCTGGACCCTAGAAGTTGGCTGAGTAGAGGTTCAGTAGGAATCCTGCCCCCACTTTTTTTGCTGTGTGACCCTAGCAAGTCGCTGAACCACTCCAAATGCCTAGTTTTCTTCTGTAGTGTGGAAATGTGGAAGGAGCGTGGGAGAAGAAACAAGGCAGTGTTCTTCTTCTCTGTTGCCTGGGTAGTCTCTCCATAAAGGGTATTTTCCTTGCAGGATGAGGTGGAATGTGATTTTAGTTGATTACTTACCCTGTGTCGGGCACTCATCTAAGAAGCTTATATGGGACAGCTCCTGCAACCTCCCACCTCTTTGCAGGTGGAGAACCCAAGGTTCCCAGAGAAAGCAGTTGGTCTGAGTCTTGCAGCTGGTGCCAGCAAAGCCAGAATCACACTCTGATCCTTCTGACACCAAAGCCTGTGCTCTGGCCTACTCTGCAGTCTAACACCACCTCCCTGAGAAGGAGGAGCAGTGTTGGAATGCTCCATCTCCACTCGCCAGGTGCCTGTGTTTGAAAGAGGCAGCACGTGGTGCCATCCCAACAGGTATGGGGGGAACATCCAGGAATGCAAACCTAGATTTAAGCTCTGAGTGTTGACTGTCAATCTAATGTGTGTGTGTGTGTGTGTGTGTGTGTGTTTTCAGTCTCACTCTGTCACCCTTGGTAGAGTGCTGTGGCATTGTAGCTCACAGCAACCTCAAACTCCTGGGCTTAAGCAATCCTCTTGCCTCAGCCTCCCGAGTAGCTGGGACTACAGGCCTCTGCCACTAGGCCCAGGTCTTGAACCCGTGCCCTCAGGCAATCCACCCACCTTGGCCTCCCAAGGGATTACAGGTGTGAGACACTGTGTCCTGCTGCTGTCAGTCTGATTACCATTGTAATTATATGGGAAGATGAATCACAGACAGGGTGTATAAACATAATGGAGGCAGGTAGAAAAGAAAGCTATCTTCAAATTAAAGCAGTAGTGATGGGCAGGACCTGTGGCTCTGTGAGTAGGGGGCTGGCCCCATCTACGGAGGGTGACAGGTTCAAACCCAGCCCTGGCCAAACTGCAACAAAAATAGCCGGGCATTGTGGTGGGTGCCTGTAGTCCCAGCTACTCAGGAGGCTGAGGCAAGAGAATCGCCTAAGCCCTGGATTTGGAGGTTGCTGTGAGCTATGATGCCACAGCACTCTACCGAGGGCGATAGGCAATAAAGTGAGACTCTGTCTCTTAAAAAAATAAAAAAGTAGTGATTTAAGCATGAAATTGACAAACATGAAGTAGTAACTGAGGCATGTCATTTTTTTTTTTTT